AGGTTGATTTACTTCAACTACCTTTCACAGCCACCACATTCTTCTTTGACCTTTTGTACAAGTTCAGCAACACTGAGATTTGTTTTTGTCTTGGAAGCAGAGAGTAGTTCTTTGATAGCAACATTGGCAACGACCATATCACTATGAACTACATACTCTATCTCCTCTCCCTCCCTGTGCTTACTTAGCTCTTGTCTTCTACTTCAGTGAATGAACAATGCCATAGTGACCATATATGATCCGCCCCTCATCATAGGAGTTCATCATCTTCATAATTCTTAATGCGTTGAACAACATCCATACCATCAATGATGATGCCACAGTAATATGGTACAGCAGTTTTTATCTATGGCATAATTTTTCTCTGTTGCCCGAACTGAGCAGTTGCTTCTGATGGTAAAATTTGGATGGGTTTTGCTACTTACAGTGAACTTCAGTTGATGTCTTAAGCATAAAGCAATGTAACCGGTGAGCTAATAATGTTCATCTGATGAGTGGGGGACATTGAAAAAATGAGGAAATCCACAAAGCAAATCACTCACAATATGTGAGGCAGTATGTTGATAAAGGGGCCAAATGTAATCTCATATTGTGTAATGCTAACAATTGATCCATTCCCTGTTTACTTCTTGATCTCCTGTTCAAGGGCCTGATCTGAGAAAAGTGTAGTGAAGAAATAAACTTACTTTTTCATACAAAAGTTGCCTGGTGAATAGACACCAGGCCAAAATGTGGTATGGGTCATAAGCAAAGAAGTACTTGATTTGATCATCTAATACAACCAAATATGCTTTCCAGTTACCCTGACCGCATACACTGATTATGTGAAGCAGGCACTCAACTTGACTCGTGTACTTTGTCAAGATCTCCACAATGCATTTCATTCACCTACCAGGTTCTATCTGGTCAGTTTGAGAGTAAATGTCAGTCTCAATAGCTACTGTATCTACCATCAAAGCACTTTATAAGTTCATGCAATGTAGCGAAGCAAACATGTAGCTGCTCCTGCTCTGATAATCATTCATTATTTATTTCTGCTGAATCTAGAGAGCTCATTCACACAAGTCAAGGTCCTGTTATTATTTTGTGCCTGTCTGTTCCAACCACAGCAGCCATTAAGATCTCTTTAGTGAGGTCCGCGAGTACACAGACTGCTGGGGATGTTTTGAAGAGAGGTAATACAACTTCACTGCTATGATTTTTATTATCTTGGGACAAGAGTGATTTTGTAGCATCCCATGTGGATATGACCTCCATTTTTCTTTCTTATTTCACACTGTGATTGAAATTGTCTGATATTTCAGCAGATTCAACACTGGTCATATGAATATGAATATTATGATTAAGATTATTGACAGCATCATCATTACTACTACCAAGTCGTGGACATGGGGTGATTTAATGGAAATATTTTCACTGCTTGTGGCAAGATTAATGTTCAAGAGTAGGTTGAATTGTACTATCATATGATTCAGTACTCGACAGACCGACATCACAACTGTCATTGACCAAATGACTGATTTAGGCAGGAAAACTCAACACATTTGTGTAAGAATTAAACTGTGTTTAAAATCTATGACTGGTTTGTCCTTGTATTTCATTTCTACATCAACAGAGGTTAAGGTAAAAGCCTACTCATGAAGTAAAATGCCCAGAATTTATTCATTTTGCAATAAACTGTACTCTAAGGCAATATAAGAATATTGACCGAAAAAAAATTGGGAGTCACCAGCCTTTTTTTTCAAGAAAATGATGGTTGTATTTGAATGGAAAGTCGCCATTTTGACACTATTATAATGCTTTTACCATAGGTTCCTGTGGCAGAGATATCATGCAATATCTCAAAATCTAGCCTGGTGACATAGGTTGAAAAAATCATATATTGTTAATGCTGGAGTACTTTTTGTTATTGTGAACTATTTAAATAATCTGGGTTTCTAAAAGTGTGAAAAAATGAAAACATTGTGTTCTATGGAATTGTTCTAAAAATAGCAATTTTTAAAAAATATTAGGACACATTTCTCAAAAAGCTTAACTGTAACACACAATAATGCTATTTAGTTGTACCATGGGACATTAGCTTCATGATTGTACATAATAAACTAATTAACATTGTCATGCGATTTATGACCAATTTTGTCAAAAATTATGACTAGGCTTCTACCTTAATGGAGGTTTCTCTGGGATAACAAGGGGATGGGTTAATGGGTTCTGCGTAGTATCGTCTAGGATATTAATGTTATCAACAGCGAAGAAAACTTATTCCTTTCTTAATAAAATCTGTAAATCAATATCTCCTACATGTGCGCCATTCTGAACAACACTGAATTTGGCCAACTCTCCAGCCCAGTTAAAAATCATAAACTTATTTAAATTTTTCTATTAGAGATTATTTATAATTGGGGATAACAGAATGAAAGGTAATAGTCTCTGCTTTAGTCAAAACCCAAGTTGTTGGCAAATGAGCAAGTTTGATGAATTGCTGCCCCAATACTTCTAAGACTTGCTTTAAAGCACCACAATCATAAGGTCATGTTTAACATGGGTCCCATGTGACCGAAACAATGCATTTTAAATTTGAATGTGCACTGCATGAAAACTGTGTAAAACTTTGGGTGAGTCAATGAAGGCATATACATGTTAAATCTGTGAGAATTATTTGTCAGCTACACCATGTTCAATACTGTAAAATACTTTATTTTAGCGAGAATTAATTTTCGCTGAACAGACATTGTTTGGGTGTTTTGTATGGTATTTATTTTCACTGATTTTTGGTGAGTTGAATGTAAAATATAGGAAAAAAAGTATATTCCATTGATTTTATTTTCACTGAATCATTCAGCAAAAATAAATTCCAAGCGAAAATAAAGTATTTTACAGTATTTACACACTACAGCAAAGGCAGGGAAAGATAAATAAGAATAATTGCAGTATTTTGTTGTTAGTCCCCGTTCGGACGTAGTCCGAAAACGGGGACTTATGTTTTGCCCTGTGTGCGTCCGTGCATCCGTGATCACCTGTATCTCGAACATGCATGGACCGAATAAGTTCAAACTTCACTCATACATCACACATTATATGAGACATATGCACATGCATTTTTGTCATGATCCGATTAACGATAGCCGAATAGCGGCCATTTTAAGGCCGAAAATGCATCAAAATCACACATTTGCACCATTCCGGACCCGGATCTCAGTTATGCATGGACGGATTTTGTTCAAATTTGGTACATACATTAAACATAATAGGACCTTGATGCACGTCATGTTTTTTTTGGACTGGGCTTGAAATGGCCGACTGGCGGCCATTTTGTTTTAAAGAATTCAGTTCTGGATCCGTATCTGAGACATGTCAGGATTGATCGAGTTCAAACTTCACACACACAAGGTACATCATGTCACAAATATGTATGTGCATTTGTTTCATGATCTCATTAATGATAGCCAAATAGCGGCCGCTTTAAGGCCGAAAATGCATTGAAATCGCACATTTTCACCATTCCGGACCCGGATCTCAGTTATGCATGGACGGATTTTGTTCAAATTTGGTACATACATTAAACATAATAGGACCTTGATGCACGTCATTTTTTTTCCCG